GTGTGTTCCCTGCTCATTGGATGTACATATGTTGGGTTCACCATGTGTTGTGTGTGTGGTGGGTTCCCTGCAAATTGTATATAGGCTGTTTTTACGGAATTCGTATTTATTCGGGGGGGGGGGGGGGGGTGCGTCGGGTTGTTTTCTCTTCTTGCTGTTGCGTTCTTGTTGTGTTCTTGTTGTTGTTCTTGTTATTGTTGAAAAATAGTGAGGCACACGCACGGTCAGGGGGTAAATGCATTTTTATTGTCATTTTTTTTGTATGTTGGCAGCCGGGACGGCTGCAAGCTATGCGGGGGGGGGGGGGGGTGATGTAGGGGTGTTAGAGAGAGAGCCCGTTATGCATGGCAGCTTATAGCAAACAAACACAGTGGGCGGGGCTACGTGAGTGCACGGGGAGGTGCCTTCTACGACGTCCATGCCAGGCACCCTGGGGGGGCTGATTCGGACGTTATGATCCCCCGGGGCCCCACCCCTCAGCGAGGGGTTGGGTATAAAAGGGGATGTATCAAAGGGCTCGGGAGTTATGTTAAGCTAACCAGGGAAGACTGAAGACGTCTTAGATAGAGCCCTGGACTCCCCTGGTTCGCCGTCCTTATCAGGGCCGAACAGGACTGAGCCAGCGGCGTGGTCCCGAGAGCCAGAGCCGGTGCTCTTGTAAGAGCTGGTCTGGGACTCCGGGTACCGGGCCCGACTTACCAGTGTCGGGCCAGATAGCCTCCCCTAGCCCGTTAGTGGAGGACTAGGAGGCAGGCTAGGAGTAGCTAGGACGTCTATCCTCAGCTAGTCGGGTGAGGGGGGCGATACCCCCTCCAGTGTTGTATGCCACGAACGTGCTGTGTTAAATAAACCCGTGTGCCTCCAACTCCGGTGTCCAAGAGTCGTGAACGCTACCACAGAACCAATCCGCTACTTACAGCTGTCACCTTTCCATTACATCAGGGCCACGCCCCTCGGCTTCCCCCCATTGGCTATGGACCAGGACCAGCAGAGCCAATCATCGTGACGAGTTGTGATACGTCAGTGAGCCGGATATATCCTCACATTACACTAGTATCTGCTAAATCTTAACATGAAATCAAACAGAATCTGCAACATGACTTCGAGTAAATTCAATATCACTTGTCGTCACAAATTGCTATTAAATCCCCAAAATATGAACATAATGCATTTCATTCGAACAATTATCCATTTTCACTAACTTCACCTATATCAGAAACAACATAATTGACCAAAAGGAGTGCATCAAATACTTAGGTTTAGTGATAGATTCAAAGCTAACATTCCAACCACATTGATTACATCTCAAAGAAAATAAAACATAGGGGTTTATACAGGAACAAACATTGTTTTCCGATTGGATTGCACCTGGAAATTGTTCAAGCTATCATTCTACCATGTTTTGACTACTGTGACACTGCTTACAGATCAGCTAAACTGACGAAACCTGCTTTATCATTCTGCTCTTCGATTTTCACTGGATGTACCATACAAGATCCACCATTGTTATGTATACTTAAAATCCAATCTCACATCACTTGATGCAATGATACATCTACATAAGGCCCTGTTCATTCATACAATCCTTATTTTGCAAATATGCGCTATACTTTGCTAATTCTTTAACCACATTGACATATTCAAGAAACATAAGACGTCCATCTAATTGCCTTTTAACTGCATGTGTAGTGACACCGACACACGTTCTTCCTTTACGAAGAATTTTTATTTCGGACAAAACACATTTGTAGGCCCAGGCTTCGTTTTTGTTGCTTGAACTTCGTTTTCTCTCCAACCACCCCCTTTTATATCCTCCGAGCCACCTTTCTGAAAGCTTCGCTCACCTCATTTCCTTCAGCGAATCCTTGTCCTCCTCCAATGGTTGTCAACCGTCTCCCCTTCAGTCAAACCTCGTTTCCCTTCTTTTACATTTTAATCTCTCTAATCCTTTTGAATCTCTTATCTTAGCCAACTGTCCGTTAGCACGTATACTATGTGAGATAGTTGGTCTGTTGACTCGGTCATTACATATGTATGTTTAACTTGTTTCACACTGTACATAGTTAATCGTGTTAATCAGAGGTGCGGGTAAAGTACAAGAGCCTAAACACAAAAAATAAGTTATAAAGTAATGTGTTCTTAGTTTTGCTTCAAAAGTACATAGCTCCAGTCGCTTCCTAATATTGTAAGGAAGAACATTCCAGACAGCCGAAAAGTGCATCTGAAAGTGCGCGATACAGTGACCATCTTTGATGGTTAGTGAAAAGTTGCTGTGAGGATGACCAGAGTACATGGTATGGTTTATGTTCCTAACGACGATCAGCAAACTAGTGTGGTTCAGTTGTGGCAAGTACTTTGTGTGTAATAAGTGCGACCTCATAATGTATTACTTCAGCAACCGAAAGCCAACGCAGTTTGGCGAGCACTGGACAGACACAGTCGGATCTTGCAGTACCCATCACGACACGTGCCAAATAATTGTGTACAAGCTTTAGTTTTCTTATGTTTTTGCATGACGTCCCGTAGAGTAGCGAGTTGCAATTATCGAGCCTTGTCGATACTATTCTACATGCCACCGTGTCGACTATGTCACGACTCAGAAGTGGTCGAATGTGTTGTGGAACCCTCATATGAACATTACAGGACCTGACTATATTTTGCAAGTGGTGATTAAACGACATTCTGGCTGAGTATGGGTCCCGAGGCTCTTCAGATTAGTAGAAACCGAATCCTGGAGTCTGTGACTGCCGCATCCGATGCTCCCAATTTATTTTTCACCTGACCTCACGTGCCAACGAGCAGAACCTCCGATTTTCCTATTCCCATCGCAAGAATTGTAATCGTTGGTAAAGCATTTGCCCGTTGCAGCACCAACATTTTGGAACAACCTTGTTTCCTCCCTTATCATCGTAAACTAATGTAATTACCCGTCATATGACAGGTTCATCAAAATTCTATGTAACGAAAAAAACTTGAATTTAAAGATTGTATTACATTTATTTAATCGAAAATGTCTTCATGTAAATCACCTTTATCGTATCATTATAATATCGGCTTGAGTTACCTTTATATCAGGAAGAAAGTAAACTAAATGTTTCAATCAAAAATTGGCTTCTAAACTTTACATTTTCCTCACCTGTGAGAGTAAAGAAAAAAAAATGTAACACTTGGTTCTCGAATTAGGTTTATTGCAAATGTTAAATTGTTGTAAGAATAATTTTATTATAAGTATCGACTTACTGGATTCTGTATTGATGTGAATACAATTTTTTTTACAAAAACCGGAAGGACAGGTTGGTGTTCACAAATTTTCACTATAAGTGCGAGCAAAAGTCATTAAAGTGCACTCAGTTATAATTAAAAGCGGATTCCGCTTCTTTATTTCACTTTTTATTCGATGTCCAACACATAAAAAAAACTATCGTCACGCAGAAATTAACTAAATAGAAGATTTATTATTATTCTGTAATGGTGTGCAAAACAAAAAGATAAAATGCAAAAACAGGGGTACACTTTGGTTTTATCAAAAGCGGCGCTGGTATATTTTTGGAGAAAATGTATTATTTTAATCACAAACTAATTAGTTACAAATTGAATAAGCCTTTCATGAAAATAACATTTAAAATTGCGTAAAAATCCACGTAGCCTACCCAGCATTACACACAGCATACAGTGTGTCAGACGTTAGGCACAGATCACCAAAACTATATGTATAATAATTCATTCAGAAAATATCCTGATACATAAAATGGATATAGCCACATTTGCCAGTGTGATTTGTAACTAATCCTTACCCGTGTGTCGATAGCAACATTGTATTGTGCAATTTTACTGAGGGACCCTGTGTTATCTTGCTGTGCTCTGATACTGTTTTGGTTGCTTTTCTGCCATTCCCTAAGTTTATATTCGGCATTACTCATGAAATGTATACTCATATACTTGATTTATTTATACATTTTCTTCATTTTGCATTTGTGAAAAGAGAGCTTCATAGCTCATCGGATTCCTCCAAGATAAATAAAGATTCTGATACAAGCCCACATAGATACAGGCATAACCATACAAACTCAAACATGCACACGCATACACATATTGTAAAACTTTGATCCTCTATTGTTATGCAATAGGTCATTGGCTGGCCTTTCCTTGCTGCGGAATGTTGGAATGCATTGCCCCTCTAGCGGGGTAACTGCTATTTTGTCTGCTGCTATTTCTGGAGGAACCCCGACGGTATGTTCAGTCTCCTGACTCTGAAAAATCGGGTTTGGCTAAGAGACGCCTTTAGACGGCTGTACCACTGGGGCCTGCGTCACAGGTTTGATCTTGTATTTGTGGTTTAGTGGTAAGTGAATTGAAGATGGAGGGGTTTACCAGCCCTCTCGTAGCCGTTCAGAGCCAACTTAACACCACAGTGGCAGCTGTGAACGCCATGAGGGAACAGCAACAATAACCGTCGTTAACCACGAAGTCACATCACCACAACGTTTATGCCATGCTAAGTGCATTTTGAGACCACGTGAATTGTCGACGGCCTGCTGGCAGGAGGTCAAGGACCAGACCCAGCAGGTGCCATGGGTTGACTGAGATGACAGGCAGATGCACCACCTGTGCTCCCTACTCATTCGAGGCTGAGTCGACCTAGGGGATGCCCAGGACCGGTTCAGATAATAGTCATTGGTGTTGACCGTGAGCGGGAATCGAACTCGGGTCGCCGGCTTTGTAGCGAGTGCGCTAACCGCTCCAATACCTCTCCACAAAACATACATGCCCACACAGGCACAGACACGCTCAACACACTCCATAAAGTCACAAACATACACATTTGCAAAACTTTTATCCTCTTCTGTTATGCAATAGGTCACTGGCTGGCCTCGCCTTGCTGTGAAATTCCGGAATGCATTTTTCCTCGAGCAAGGTATGGGGTAATTGAGTATTAGTCGGAGGTGTGACGGGGGAGGAATGTGGCGGGGGCGATATGAGGAGAGGTTATAATATGAGTTCGCACAGTCTTAAGCGCCAGAGAGACTCCAACACCGCGGCAATTGCAGGTGAGCGTGGGAGCGGTCTGTGCATCACCACCCGGATGCGAGGGCGAATTATGATGAAATCGTGTTCACAGCGACGGCTTTTGTCTGGCCATCGAACAAAGAAGGTTACTGTGTAATGTAGCTCTCAGAGACACCGTCTTGTCTTTCTGTAAATTTATTACTAGCGGGAAGTACCCAGCGTTGCCCGGGCGAAAAAGACACACACACACATCGACTTACATATACACAGACATCGACGCACACACAAACACATCGACTTCTACACACATAGACACATATGGACTGACACACAGACATCGACTTTACACACACATGGAGTTACACACACACATGGACTCACACACAGGTAGACTTACACACACACACATCGACTCACACATAAATAGACTTACACACACATCGACCTACACACACACATATGGATTACACACACACACATATCGACTAAGACACACACACATGGACCCACGCACACACATCGACTTACACACACATATGCACATATGGACTTACACACACATGGACTAACACACACAGACATGGACTCACACACACACATCGACCGACACACATAGAGATTCAAAGGTAATACCAAACGCAGTTAAAATAACACATCACATAACTTTCGATTTAAAGCTTTCGTGACTGCAGGGATTCATCTTCTTGGTTCTTTCGGTAAAGTCACGTAGAAGGGAAGTAATAAAATAATAAAAATAAAACATAATAAAACAATTCTCACGACGTTTCGGCCACAACGCAAGCAGCCGTCCTCAGGTGAAGAATGAGACAATGCCAAGCTAGGAGCTTATATATAAGCTGCGTTGGAGGTGGAAGAAAGAGCGCCTTAACAAAAGAATGTGCATATGAAGAGGAATTTAGCATATATATGGAAAATGCGTAGGAGGTGGGCGGGGGGGTTTCAAAGTCATATTATGCCCATGCATTATGCAGGATCAACAGCACCAAGGGGGGGTGCAGGGATTAGCAGTAACAAAGGAAAGGAATGTTAATGATATGTAGCTGCAGTTACTCAACAACCACGTAGAAAACTAAAGTATAAACTACATAAAAAACTAAAGTATAAATTGCATAGCACCATCAGTATACTTACTATACTCTACACTAAGCTGAGTTACTAACAGCAAGTAATACATTACAATTCTACGTCGTAGAAATTATATAATATGCTTCCATCTAAACTTTATTCTATTGTATCACACGAGCATATACCGTACTATATACTGCCAACATTAAATTATATACTGTATTGCTGTAAACCAAGGCAACAAACTAAGTTGCCTCTGTGGTAGCAGTTACATTGGGGAAACCAAACGACATGTCTCGGACCGCATCCGTGAACATAAAGCTGACCTGAAACACGGTAGGACAAACACCTCAGCCGTGGCAGATCACTGTTACAACTCAGTGGGCTCACATGATATTGACTTCTCCAAGACAGAGGTTCTCTGCAAGCCATCTGGCTATCATGAGAGATTCGTTCATGAGGCGATCCACATATACAAACACAGAGACAATTTTAACCGAGAAGATGGATTCTGGCTTAGCAATCATTGGAAGGACGTAATAAACCATTTCGACACACATTAGGGTGGGTAGAATAATACATAGTGTTATATTAAATGTATAAGGTATAGGTTGGTTTACAGCAATACAGTATATAATTTAATGTTGGCAGTATATAGTACGGTATATGCTCGTGTGATACAATAGAATAAAGTTTAGATGGAAGCATATTATATAATTTCTACGACGTAGAATTGTAATGTATTACTTGCTGTTAGTAACTCAGCTTAGTGTAGAGTATAGTAAGTATACTGATGGTGCTATGCAATTTATACTTTAGTTTTTTATGTAGTTTATACTTTAGTTTTCTACGTGGTTGTTGAGTAACTGCAGCTACATATCATTAACATTCCTTTCCTTTGTTACTGCTAATCCCTGCACCCCCCCTTGGTGCTGTTGATCCTGCATAATGCATGGGCATAATATGACTTTGAAACCCCCCCGCCCACCTCCTACGCATTTTCCATGTATATGCTAAATTCCTCTTCATATGCACATTCTTTTGTTAAGGCGCTCTTTCTTCCACCTCCAACGCAGCTTATATATAAGCTCCTAGCTTGGCATTGTCTCATTCTTCACCTGAGGACGGCTGCTTGCGTTGTGGCCGAAACGTCGTGAGAATTGTTTTATTATGTTTTATTTTTATTATTTTATTACTTCCCTTTACGTGACTTTACATCACATAACGTCTGTTAAAGCTAACCAAATACTACACAAAGCTAGCAAATTATTATTAATAAAGAGAATACAGCACAACAGGAGTGAATTGTCTTACATTTCGGAATCTCTAAGGCAGTTGCACTTAGATATAAGCAATAGTGTATCCATGCATTATTGGAATATAATCGATACTATAACACAACAATCGGCTGATAATGTGTTTAATCTAACAAAAAACTAGCCAAATAATACATTCTCTAGACATTCATAATAAACAATTCCCTATTAAAAGACAAAACATTTAAAAACCAAACAGTAATGAACTTCTTCTTGGTTCTTTCGGTAAAGTCACGTAGAAGGGAAATAATAAAATAATAAAAATAAAACGTAATAAAATAATTCTCCCCGAGAGACCTGGTCTTCACCTGAGGAGGCTGCTTGCGTTGTGGCCGAAACGTCGTGAGAATTATTTTATTATGTTTTATTTTTATCATTTTATTATTTCCATTCTACGTGACTTTACCGAAAGAACCAAGAAGATGAATCCCTGTAGTCACGAAAACTTTAAATCTCCTCCTTTCTGTTACTCTCTTAAAGCCTCACCACCTCTTCCCCATCACGCATCCTCTTCCCTCCCCTCACAATTCCACTCCTGCCCGTCCCTCCCTTACCGTTTCGTGATCTCCAAGTACCCCTCTATCACTGTCAATCATCCCTCAACTCTTGTAGGCCGCTTTCAACTACAACATTCCATTTTGTGTTAAGTACCTTGAGTGAATGCGCTCCATAAATATATACATGCGATTAGATATATTATTATGCTAATTATGATTTTGATGACGTCACTGCAACAGGACTACGATGCAATGTGCCAGCAACATTTTCATACTTTTTTATATATGTGTAGTGATTTAGAATAGATCACTACGGCGCGTAGCGCTAAGTACAGTAGAATGAGGAAATAAGGGTGTAGAGGCGAACACACCATGCAGTACCACACAGTGGGTCACTCGGGTGAGTGGTACTGGGTGCTAGCAGAGAGAGGCTGATGAGTCCTACCGACAGAGTCGGGGATAGCAGCCACTCCGCCAGCATAGCGAGTGAATGCCACGTAATTGGTCACTAGGGAGTGTGGTGTGGGCTGCTGGCGGAAGGGGGCATATGAGGACTAGTCACCCCAGCCTCGGGTGAAGCACATGATGGGACGAGGTGAGGAATGTGGGGCAAAGGTGACCGAGGGGACATGGGAAGTGTACCTGGGAATTTTCTGGAGAGTTCTTAAAGGGGGCATGGTTAAGGGCAGAGCCGGGCAGGTGGCACATGCAAGATAGCCAGGAAACTTCAGAATGTTCCAGAAGGGGGCGCAGCCGAGGGCGGAGCTAGGCTGCACCGAGAGAGCTAAAAGGGAAGCCCCGATATTTGATCGGGGCTGTCTGCAGGTGAAGTGAACCCGAGGTGCTACGTCTTCGTCTCCGACATCGTGGGTCAGACAGCACGTTGGCTGCTCTGACCTGTTTATAGTTATCCTGTGTGTAACGGTGTGTAAGAGATAGGCATATTGTAGTCCCGTGTGTAACGGTGTTATATACTGTAGAATAAACGTTGTTGCCTCATAACTAGTGTCTCCGAAGTGACTCACTACATATGTATACATTTTTGTAGCAATGCATGTATGATTATAATAATCAATGCAATAATAATCAATGCATACTATAATCAAACATGCATTGCTACTAAACATTTCTTTTATTCGATAGCTACATTTCCTAATGTAATAACTTCACCAAGAAACAGCTTTACAATGTAATGCTTTACCAAGCCACATGCTGTACACTGTAGTCTAAAACTCGTATCCCTCATGAGCTCTGAAGAAGGGCCCTTCCCTGAAACGTCGCATATCATAATAATTAACAATAAAGGTTACTTTAGTTTAAATCACGTAAATATAACCCACTACCACCACCCGACACTGCCAAATAGTAAGGTTTGTTAGGTAAACAGAACGTGCCAATTAGTTACTAGTTCAGCACTCAGGTGTGTTGCAAAGTAAACGCACAATATTTACAATTTGAGTACTATGACGTTTCGCTTGTGATTACAACAACCAGCTTCATCATTTGCCATAAATGTGAAGTCTTCCTATTCCGGTCCTTAAATAGAGTAAAGGCGATGTCATCACTGCGAGCCTATCAGGTGCGAGGACCAGAGGGGGTTAATGTAGTCATATCAATTACATTGGATTATGTTGTACGTATGAATGTTAATGTATGTGTAATAAAAGACTCCGTCAGGCACTGCTGGTCTCCGTTGGTCTTTCATTCAAGTTCTTTCTCCGCACCCCGCTGGTCTCCTCCGCGGACCAGCGTCGTCTCGCACGCGCCCCGCACGCGCTTCCTCCTCAGCTCCTCCACTCGTCCTCACACCCCGCTGGTCCTGACAAGGGACCAGCGTCTCCTCTCGCGTGTCGCGCACGCTCCTCTCGCGTGCACCACACGCTCCTCTCCCGCCAGTCGCTCCGCTCCTCCCTGCTCCGTACACCGCTGGCCGACAGTGTGACGAAGCCCCATCAGCCACGTGGCTGATGGCGCGGCCGCCACCCAACGTGGTCCCGCTTCTTCACTCCTTCAACTGACCCCGCTCTCATCCGGGCTCCTCTCTATATCCTCTCTCCCAGGTGACCCTAACTCATCCCCTTCTGGATCGTCCGATCCGGCCTTCCCATACTGCCCTGCTGGCTCCACCTCCATTCACCTCGC